TCCCTGGCATCCCAGAGGCAGTGGTGCCGGCCGGACCTGCAACCAGCACTCGTGGAAAGAGTCAGGCTTCCTTGTCCCTCTAGCTCAGCAGTTGGCTCACGTCGCCAGTTTTCACTTGACCTGACTTGTGATGACTTCTCAAGTCTGCAGGCTGGCTGGGCTTCTGGCCTTTTCTCCTTGGTCAAGTGTTGGTTGAGATGTACGTTGATGCTGGGGCTTAATAAGGACCCACAGGGGACTGGTGCTGTGGCATAGCAGGTTAAGCCACTACCTGCAGTACTGGCGTCCCATATAGGTGTTGGTTTGAGTCCAAGGCACTCCGCTTCCAATCCAGCTCCCTGCTAATGCAGCTGGGAGAGCAGCAGAAGGTGGCCCAAGTGCTTGGGCCCGTGCACCTGCATGAGAGATTGGGAAGAAGCTCCTGGCTCCTGGCTTCAGCGTGGCCCAGCCCTGGGTCATTGTGGCCATTTAAGGAGTGAGCCAGCAGATGGAAGATTCGTGCTCTCTCTTGCTCTCTCTCTCTCTTTCTCTCTCTTTCTCTCTGTCGTCTGCCTCTCCTCTCTCTCTGTAACTCTGCCTTTCAAATAAATGAATAAGTCTGAAAAAGCAAAAAAGACGAAGGCCCTGCAGTCTTAGGACTCTCCTGGTCAGGTTACCGGAGCTCAGCCTTTCGCGACTGTTCTGTTCTCTAATCTCGTAACCCGAGTGCGGCAGTCACACAGGAAGCTCCCGACTTCCTAGATTGGTAAGAAATCGAGTGTGCTTTTTCCACCACTTCATCCTCATCTTCTGCTTGGTTGCCCCAGAATGGGAACGGGATGGTGGCTGAAGATCCCAGAACTTGTATCAAGAGCCGAATTCTCGCATTCCCAGTATGTTTGGTACTCGTGGATTTTGTTGTTTCCTGTCAGTAACAGGACAGTGCACACTTTTGTGCTGACTGAAGTAGTTCAGCCTGACTTCTTTCGTGTCTCTTGCCCTTTAGTAGCCCAAGGGAATCGAAAGACTGCATTTTGTGGCCTGGGAAAGCAGTGGAGGATGGCCCAAGTCCTTGGGCCCCTGCACCTGCGTGGGAGACCTGGAAGAAGCACCTGGTTCCTGGCTTCAGATCAGTGCAGCTCTGGCCGTTGTGGCCATTTGGGGAGCAAACCAATGGATGGAAGACCTCTCTCTCTGTCTCTCCCTCTGTCTGTAACCCTACCTCTCAAATAAATAAGTAAAAATCTAAAAAAAAAAAAAAAAAAAGAAAGAAAGAAAGACAGCATTTAAAATGTGCTGGAAGATGTGCCTTAAGGCTGTTATGTTGTGGAGCAGGATATTTTTAGCAACTCTGGAATGAGCTCTGTGCTTGATTCAGACCCGTGACATTTATGGTATAATTTTAGTGGATGCCCAACTTTAAAACAAAATAAAGGTAGTTATACCATTATTTTTTTTCCTGTAACTACATTCGTGAATACTAAAGGATTTTCTAATGTGTATTTAAATACATATTTAAGATATGAAATTTTCTTAGAGTCATTCAGGGAGTCATTTTCTATTGCTTATTAAAATTGAAGGAGGAGAAATAAGTTAGAATTAAAATCAGTTGTGTTGTTAGCATTCTTCTCTCTATGGGATCTGTATGTCTTTCATGAAAGAATCATTGCATCCACCTTAAGTAAATCTAAGAAACCAGAAATAAAATGAAAAAAGGAATCATCAGTGTATTAGTGTGCTTTACCGTAATTACCATAATGCAGTGCCTAACACAGGCTGCTTACGAGGGAGAGAGGTTTGTTTTGGTCCATGGTTTTGGAGGTTCGCTGTCAGGATCTGGCAGCCCTGTTGGTTCAGCGTGTGACGATGGTGTCCTTGCTGGCAGAGTGGCCAGAGGCTGCGCTTGGCTCTGCCTGTATCTCTCATTATAAAGCCGTGACTCATCACAAGGCTGCGTCCCAGCAACCCGACCCAATCCACTCACTTGTCAGAGGCCCCGCCTCCAAGCACTAGTTTTCACCCTCTTTTGTACATTTAATGAGACTATGGGGACCAAGGTCTTTAAGGGACACACAACCTTATATCACAGCCATGGCAGTTGCCATGCCTGGGTTATGTTTATGAGATACCGTGGTGAGAGCCATTTGATCAGTGGACTAGCAGCGTCCTGATAGGCAAATCAGGATTAAGAAAGGATTCATGGTTTGTTCTTGTTTTTATTAGTATTTGAGAGACAGAGAGGGAGAGCTCCCATCTGCTGGTTCACTCCCCAAGTACCTACGACAGTTGGGAGCTGGGTGCTCCATCCTCATCTCCCGTCTGAGCAGCAGGGGTCCAGCTACTTGCGCCTTCACGTGTTGCCTTACAGTGTGTGTGTGAACAGGAACATGGAATCAGGAGCAGAGCCAGGACTCGAACCCAGGCACTCTGAGGAGATACGGACATCTTAACCGCTGGACCAGATGCCTGCCCCAGAGTTGGTGGTTTTACAGTGTTTTCTAGAATCTGTGTGTTTTGATAAGTGGCTTTCCTACCTTAGGGATAGTGTCTTGTTCATATGTGTTCCCAGAAGCTCCCCAGTACACGGTGGGGCACTTAGTAGGTGCTTCCTCTTTGAAGGTGAATGGGAGTAAGTTGCCTTGGGAGCAATGTGGGGAAGCCCTGGACGGCTGAGAGGAGAAACGAAGCCCAGGAGTTGGGCCAGGAGATGCAAACAGCCGAGTCACTCACTGTGTTTTAAGGAAAGAATGTTGAAGTGGAAGTGGGTTGAGTTTTCAAGGGTTCTCGGCAGAGCGGTTCTGGAGGTGGCTTAGGGTACCCATGAATTGACCCACAGTGCTCCTCGGGTAAAGTGAAGTAACAACTCTTTCCTGCTACGCATTCAAAGTGAGATCATGGATGGAATAGTCCCCTAAGTTCTTTTTTTCCTTCACTCTTCGGCACTTGCTATTTTTGGCCAACACTGGGAACTGACATGAATTGGTCTCTGGGAAGCAGAGAGCTGTGATAGTTATTGTAACTGTAAGCAGTCAGTCCTTCACAGAGCTCCATAAAGAGCCATGCGGCTTCCTGACTGCCCAGCTAACAGGTCTGAGAACTGCCATCCTCAAGTGTTAATGAAACCAAGCTCCCCTGGGGCCCGTTAAGCCAGGGCTTCACAGGAGTTTGTGACAACGAGTCCAGGAATTGTGTCCTGTAAAAGGCAGCTCTCATTATGTGGCCCTTGTTGAATCCCTGTGGGCTGGTGGCTTATCCATCCCTTATCTTTCAGTATAGAAGAATCCCATTACTTCATGCACTCACCTTACCCATCTTTTGAAAGGAGCCATCCATGGGGGAAGTTTCTGTGGGGTGGAATTGTGTGAGGGTGCCGGCAAACAGACTGAGGTTAGCAGCAGAGAGAAAGGCAAGTGGCTTGTTTTGCTTTGTGAAAATGCCCCTGCCCCGGTTTTCTGGAACTTGTTTCTACTTGAAAGATTTCCCTTTAACTAGATCATGAGATGTGTTTGCTTTCCTGAGCTGATTCAGGCAATTGGATGAGTAATACAGAGAGTCAGTTCTGTTCTACCATATTGATTTTTCAAAGTCTCCCCTTTAGGGAAAAGAAAAAAAATTCTCTTGATGATCCATTTCATATTAGAAATCTGGTACATTACCCAGCTTTTACAGTGTTCAGTATTTGAAGAAGTGAATGTGTTATGTAAGCGAGAGGACTGAAGGCAACCAGGGGTGTGTGTAGGCTACATCAGGAGGGCGGGAATTAGCAATGGCTGTCTGCCATGTAAAACTTGCCTTCTTTGGAGCAAGTTGCAAATCTCAGCAGAGTATCCACAGGCATTTCTGGGTGCATTGCCTATCAGTTGTATTAGAAGATAAGCTGTGTGGGAGCGGGGAAGGCACGGGAGGGGAATTCTCTTTTTAGGCTAAAATTTGGTAGAAGGTTCAGGTGCTGGAGAGAGTGATGGGCAGGATGTGTTTCATAGATTTAGCCAGAAGTGTAGGCATCAGACTACAGACTATGGGATCTCAAAAGACAGCAAGCTTTGGAATGGAGGCGCGAGGAGCTTTTCAACCCGGGCTGGAAGTTCCACCAGTGTTAGCTCTTCTGTTCCTTTTCCCTTGCTGCCCTGGGAAGTGATAATGGTTCTCTGTTGTGCTGAAGCATATGTGGGCTGCTGCCTGGATTGTTAGGCAGGGAAAATTAGCTCCTATAATTCAGATCATTCAGCAAATGCTTATTAAGTGGCTTGAGATTTAGAAATAGCTGAATCCATGAATAGAAGAAGGAAACTTCTTTATGCAGGGCTAAGTGCTAGGAGTAGAAGCAAAGCACCCCCTTCAGGAGCTTGTGGATTCCCTGGGGTGAAAGCACACACAGCCCACGCACGTGCAGAGCTCCTGGGCTCGCTCTTTGGAGCAGAGAGCTCCGAGGTGGGACAAGCCCAGCCAGGGGCCCTCTGCTCAGGAGGGGGCCGTGCAGACGTGGGCTTCCAGGAGGGTGGAGGACTTTAAGGATTTCACATGGAGAAATGGGGGTGCCCGGAGGCTGGCATTTGTGAGTGGCAGGTTCTTCAGACAACTGTGGTAGGCCCGGGGTGGGGGACTAACTCCCATCAGCAAAGTGCATGGAGGGGCGGGGGAGGCAGATCAGGTTGGGGGAGGTTTTGAAGGTAGCTGGCAGGGACCATGGTGAAGATCCAAATGGTGGGATGAACGTGGAAGTGAAAAGGAGAAGTGGAACCCAGGCCAAGTGAGGAAATGAAGCGACAGGAGTGAAACACATCCCAGGCTCTCCACTGTGGTCTCGCTGGTCGTGCGCTTCAGGCTGGGGGAAGTGGGAGACACTGCGGGTGAGAATGCGCCAGCGTCCTGCCCTGCGTGGGAATGGCGTCGCTGACCTGGAACTTGAGATGCGAGCTCACTGTGTCAGCACGGACAGTTCCCGGCGTAGCCCTGTGACGGATGATACGGTAGAAAGATTTCTGTGTCGGTCTCATTAATGCCCTCTCTCTTCTTTTCAGACTCTGTCGAGAAGAATCTCCAACCCCTACCTTGACCATAGTCCTTCCCAGGTACGGCTCTTCCTCTCCTACTGCACTGTCGGTAACTAGGTTCTCCATCCTGCTGCAGAAATCCTGGGCTCGTGCCTGCCATCCGTGTCCTGACTGCACGGGGCCACTGCCTCCCCACTCTGCCCTGCCCCACACCCACCAGGGAGGACATGGGAAAAAAAGTCTGAGACCATTATGTCGCAATCCAGGGTGTTCACTCTGTGGCAAAAAAAAAAAAAAATCATACGGATTTTCCCATTTTCCAAGTCCTTTACATGAATGCCTTGTCAGTGTAATGTAGATACAATATTAAATATATAAAAAGTATTCTTCAATTTGCTGTATCAGTAGAAGCACTTTATTTTACAAATAGTGGATTTTTTATGCTGAAAACATTGTGTATAAAGCGAGATTTATATTTATAGTTGTTAGTGGAACATCCCCCGTGTGCTCATTGGTTTAAAAAAACAAATGAGGTAGTTTTCATTGCCTTGTGTCAAAGAATCATTGACAAGGGCTGGCGCTGTGGCGTAGGCAGGTGAAACCTAAAGCAGCCACCTGCAGTGCCAGCATCCCATATGGGGGCGGGTTCTAGTCTCGGCTGCTCCACTTCCAATCCATCTCTCTGCCAACGTGCCTGGGAAAGCAGCGGAACATGGCACAAGTGCTTGGGCCCCTGCACCCATGTGGGAGACCTGGAAGAAGCTCCTGGCTCCTGGCTTCGGCCTTGCCCAACTCTGGCCATTGCGGCCATTTGGGGTGTGAACTGGCAGATGGAAGACTGACTCTGTCTCTCTCTCTCTCTCTCTCCGCTTTCTCTCTACCTATCCCTCTCTGTAACTCTGGCTTTCAAATAAATAACTCTTTTTTAAAAAATCAAGAACCGTCACCAAAGAGTTGCATTTCTTTGCAGTAAAGGAGGATGCAGGCTTTGTGAGGGCGAACTCCTCTCTTCCCGTGTTCTTCTCAGTACGCCCAGCCTTAAATCAGAGCCGACCCCCGCAGCTGCTCGCGAATGCGCTTGGAGCGCCTGCGCCAGGGAAGGCGGTCTCCATGTCAGAACCGGCTGTCAGCTCACTCATCCTCCCTCCTCGGTCATATCCTGTCCTCTGGCTTCTTCAAGCTCTGTTTCTTTGAAGAAACAGTTTTAAGCTCTTAACAGCCTCTCAGCTCTTGCCCTGTGCACTTTCTCTCTGTGTTGGGGGATGCTATCAGGGAAATTAAGGAAGGGCAAGGTCCCCTCCAGGTTGTCATCAATCAATTTGTTTTGGGAAAAGATAGAAAATACTTTGTGGGTGCAGAAAGAGTTCACCAGGAAATAAGTAAAAAAACGTAAGCATGTATCTCCAACATACGTTCATTAAAAATTTTTCATTTTACTTGAAAGGCAGAGAGGGACAGACAGATCTCCCATCTGCTGGTTCACTCCCCCAAATGCCCACAGCCACCAGGGCTAGGACAGGCCAAAGCTAAGAGCCCAGAACTCCATCATCCAGGTCTCCCGAATGGTTTGCAGGAAACCAGCTACTCCCAGGGAGTACGCTAACAGGAAGCTGGAATCGGGAGCAGAGGAGATGGCCCTGCCGCCTGGCATTCTAGGATAGGATGCGGGCATTGCCAGCAGCACTTTAACCGCTGCACCAAACCCTCCCCTTTCCGCACCCCGACACCTGCTAATTCTCTGAGCCTTGATGTGGAGATGCCTGGTGTCTGTTTAGCTTCCCTGGTTGTGCCCTGCTGTTGGGCTGTGTATGAGTTGGGGGGGGGGGGGTTTGAGGTGGGGGATATAGGGTTATAAAGGGGGATATATACCCCTCTAGATCATCATCTTCTAAGAATCAGAGACTCGTGTGTGTGTGTGTGTGTGTGTGTGTATGTGTGCACGCATACACGCAGGGGGAGTTCAAAGGTTAAAAACAGACATTAAATGAATCATAAAGTGGATGAAACCAGGGTGCTTGGCATTAACTCTGAACTCTGCAGCCAAGTGACTCCTAGAGGCCGAGCTGCCTGCCGTCACGTCGTGTCTGGCTTCGAGATGTTCACTCAGTGGGAAAACAAATTATTTTCCTGGCCCCTGAGACCTTTGTATATGAGTGCATATTCCATATGGCAGAGTTCATGTGTCATGTCGGTGGTCTTTGCTGTGCTGTATTGAGAGACACACTGTATTGTTTAAAAATAGTAGTGATTTTACACCGAAACCTTGGTCTTAGAGAAGGTGATTATTTATCATTATAGGTAAATAAAGCACTTTAGCTTTTGGGAAATGGTTAGTACAGCTTCATAGCATGAGAGAAGATGGCTAAGATAACTCACAGCCAGGCAGTGATTGAGCTATGGGTACGTAGGCTAGAGTGTGTCTTGGGCTCCGAGACTGCTCCTGACTCTGTGTGCGTAGCATGCTGTCGGTGGATCACAGATGGTTTTGCACTTACAGTCGATGCTTATCTTTTCCACTCAGATCTACGGAGAGAATACTTCTTGCGCAGGAAGAGCCCTGAGAAATATGGTCATGGTCCAGGCGGCTGACCTGATAAAGGACCGAGTGAACCTCAAGGGCTTTTACAGGTAACACAGCTTCCTAACACCTTGTCAGGAAACCTCTCCGAGGGGCAACAACCAAAGCCTGTAACCTTGACTGGGGAGAAGGGGGCTCTCGGTGGGAGCGTCTGCTGTGCTCTGTCTACCACGGACACTGGCAGTGGCCTCTCCTTTCTTTAACCTTCACTGTGCATTTTTGTACAGGTTGACACCTGGTCCTGAGGTTGGGCTACGGGACCCCTGGCTACAAGTGTCATGTCTGCTCTACTTTCTCTGATGTGATATTTCATAGTATCTGGGGCAGGGAAGGCTGGGGTGGGGGTGGGGGGAGTGTTGCATGGGAAACTTCAATAAACATAGGTCCCCTCTTTAGGGACCTTACCAAGACTTTCCAGGAAGACCAGCGCTGTGGTGTAGCGGATAAAGCTGCCACCTGCAGTGCCAGCATCCCATATGGGCACTGGTTTGAGTCCTGGCTGCTCTACTTCCAACCCAGCTCTCTGCTATGGCCTGGGAAAGCAGTGGAAGATGGTCCAAGTCTTTGGGTCCCTGTACCCACGTGGGAGAGCTGGAGGAAGCTACTGGCTCCTGGCTTCAGATTGGCATATCTCCGGCCATTGTGGCCATCTGGAGAGTGAACCAGCAGATGGAAGATCTCTGTCTTTCTCTGCCTCTGCCTCTCTGTAGCTCTACCTTCAAATAAATAGATAAATAAATATTTTTTAAGAAAAAAAAAGGCTTTCCAGGGCCTCCTTGGCAACTCAAGGGCCACGAGGCCTGCTCCAGCCCTCCAGGTGAGAGGGCAGCTCCTCCCTGGCTGCAGGAAGCAGAGGGCAGCGGCAGCGTGGCCAGGGCCTGGCAGGTGTCTTCTGGGTTAGAGAGCAAGGGCAGGTGTCAGAGTGAAAGGGTGGGTTCCTGGCCAGTTTTAAAGTGCAGCTGGACCAAAAGAGTGGTCCTGCAGAGGGTAGGGAGAACATGCTATCATTTCACGGAGCACTTGAAAGAAAAACACAGAAGTAAGTTATCCGCTTTGTATTTCACCAAGGAAAGAGATTAAGCTACACCAAAGCAAATCCAAAATTAGGAAAATTAAAAAGAAAAAACACTACCATTTATCATCACTATTCATTCTTAAAGAGATGTTGAAATATCGTGGAGCATAAGAAAAGTACTCAGAAAAAGTGGCACCAAGAAAATGAGGAAGTATTCTTGGAAGAAAGGCTTCTTGGAGCGGGCGTTGTGGTGCAGCGAGTTAAGCCACCACCTGGGATGCCACAGCCCATGTCACGGTGCCTGGCTGCATCCGCTCCCTGGGAGGCAGCAGAAGACGGCTAAGTACTTGGTCCCTGCCACCCACGTGGGAGCCGGGATGGAATCTTCAGCCTGGCCCAGCCGGGGCTGTTGTGGGCATTTGAGAAGTAGACCAGCAGACAGAGGATCTGTCTCTCTCTCTCTCTCTCTCTGTTGCTCTGCCTCTCAAGTAGGTGAAAATAATAAATAAACGTTAAAACAGAAAGGAGTCTCCCTTGGCTATGAGCTAAATGTACAATTATAATATTCCTGTTTTTTCTCATTTGCCTCCGGTGGGGAAAATGTCATCATTTATTTATTTATTTGAAAGTCAGAGTTACACAGAGAGAGAAGGAGAGGCAAGGGGCGGGGAGGGTCTTCCATCTGTTGGTTCATTCACCAATTGGCCACAACGGCCGGAGCTGCTCTGATCTGAAGCCAGGAGCCAGGAGCTTCCTCCGGGTCTCCCACGTGGGTGCAGGGGTCCAAGCACTTGGGCCATCTTCTACTGCTTTCCCAGGCCATAGCAGAGAGCTGGATCAGAAGTGGAGCAGCCAGGACTCAAATCGGCGCCCATATGGGATGCCGGCACTGCAGGCAGGGGCTTTACCCACAATGCCACAGTGCCGGCCTCCTGAGATCCACTCTTTCCCTGAGGAGGGATTTTCACTGGCTGTGGACTTAACTGCTAAAATGCAATCAGTGACAGGAGACCCAGTGAAACCACACTTCCGGAGACTAACAAATCTATGTTTATCACAGCAGTCACATGGGCTTTGTAGCTCTTCCCTCCCACATCACGGCATTCCCACCTAGTGTTGCATGCGTGGTTAGATCTGTGTGTTCTGGGAACAGTTTCTGGATGGAGTGCAAGACTGAAAATACGCTGTGGGTTAAGAACTGCTGTCACAAGTTTGCTTGCTGTGTTCCAACCATCTCTGCTTGCTCCTCCCCACTGCTGGCCCCCAAATCCTGTGGATTTAGGTATCTTAACCAGATTGTGGCAGGTGCCAGCCGCAGGTCAGCTCACTTCATTTTGCTCCTTTACCTTCACATCTCCCTTGGTGCAGAGGGACCATCCCACGTGATGGGAGACATAGTCCGCAGCCTGCTCTGAGAGTGGCCCTGCTGGAAGTTAACGTGGTCATGGCACTCAATCCAGGTGTCCTGCATGGTGGCGGGGGACCCTAGTTCTTGAGTCACCACCACCTGCTGCCTCCCAGGGTGCACGTTCGCAGGAAGCAAGAATGGAGAACAGAGCCTGGACTTGGGCCCAGGAACACCAGTGAGGGACGCGGGTGTCCCAAGTGGTGTCTCACCTGCTACGTCCAGACACCTGCCACGGAATCTGTACTTTCCCAAGGCGCCCCAGGCGGCTCCCAAGCACAGCTTTGAGAAGCTCTGGTCTGAGCAACTTCTCCCTCCTCATTTGCGAACAGCAAACAGAAGTATGAATCGAACCATCTTTTGTGATTGGCAGTTTGGTTTGTTGAATGAATATTTTATCGTGTGCCTCCATTTTCTGGGTGATATCAGACCCTCCATGCAGGCTGAGGAGCTGCTTTGTTTTCGGGGTATCAATTAAGAGGATACGGTCTGTAATCCGAGGGAAACAAGTGCTTCCACAGCTCAGAGATGCTGGCTAATTGGCAGAGGTGTCGAGGAATTAGTTAATTAACACTTGGAACCTTTAAAATGAAAGGAGTCCTATAGAATTTGAAGTTTATATTGACTTGTCTAATTGCCTTTCTGTTGCCTTCTGTTTTCTCATTGTATTTAAAAAAAAATCCTTCTATTTGACTGTTACTCTTTGTATTGTCATAATGCTGACTTGCAACTGCTTGAGTCTGGAATTAGCTCGGTTGCGTTGGAGAATCTTTCAAAATGGTGACAGCTTTCAAAAATAGAAAAACTGCCTTATGGAAAGCTGGGATTTTTGATCAAGTATCCCAGCAGAGAAGTGCCCTGCCTTATTTTCCTGTCACACCCCATGCCCGTTCTTCATGGTGCTGGTCGGGGTGGAGTTCCAGGGTGCTTGGGACTATACCAGTCGCCACACTGGCAAAATGGGCAGCGTGCGTCTCTCTTGAAAGAATACTGACAGTACCTCCTCCATCAGCGCTGAATAGAGAATAAAAATAGGCGGTCCATGATACTTCCTTCTGTCAGCATCTTAGTGATCTGGTCTCGTCAGGGAGAACGGAATTCAGCGAGGTTTCGGCACAGGGCAAAGCAGATCTCAGAAAATTTCCTGTTGTTCTTCCTCCGAGGCCGATACAGATGGAAAAGCAGCCGTGCAGACGCTGTGTGTGACACCCAGCTTATGGCATTGCCATTGTGAGCTCAAGGCCGATTACAGAGAGGGGTTTTTGTGTGTGATTAGTGGACTCCCACACACACACACACACATCTGGATTAACAGGTTCCTGATGCACACAGCTCAGCTAGATTGCTTAGATTATACTTAAAAGCTTAACAATCAAATCCACAGTTCTTTGAGACTAACTTTAGGATATAATCTTTGTTTACTGAATAGTAAATAAAACCCTGTACCACTTGACTTTGGTTCCAATTTTGTCTGAGCTTCTTGGGATTCTTTTGTTTTCAAAGGAAGGAGCTAAAAAAAAAAAAATCTATAAATGGTTAAACCAGAGTTTATCACCAGCAGCTGGGAGTGCGTGACCAAGGCAGAAGCAGTGTCTTTACCACGCCAGCAAGTATATTTGGAAAACCTGCTGTGTGCTGTGGACTGTTCTGATTGGGAGGGGAGTAAGAGGGAGTGGTGCAAAGTCCCTGTTTTTTTTTTTTTTTTTTTTTTTTGAAAATTATTTTCTAGTAGGGAAATCAGAAATTATTCCTCGAGAAAGATGTGTGATTACGCAATGTTAGGTGATCTGAAGAAAAAGCATAGTAGAATTTGGCATGTCCCCCTCCCTAAATGGTATTTGAGCTCCACTCTGAAAAATGAATTAAGAGGTACATGTCGTTGATTCTTGGGTTGCACATGAAAGGCGTGGTATTAAATATCCATTTTTTTTGGCAGCTGAACAGCAATGGGATCTCACTGTGAGTGGCTTTGCTTTTGTGCAGGAGAAGCTGTGTCGGGTCGGAGCTGGTCGACTGGCTTCTGGAACACTGTCCTTTTGTCCAGTGCAGGTCAATGGCCGTCGGGGTCTGGCAGCTCCTCCTGGACATGGGGATCATGTCGTCAGGTCAGTGTTACAGGGCTGGACCTCACAGCCTCATGGATGGGAATTGTTTCCGAAGGTGAATGTTTGCCTTCTCTCTGGGTTTCTAAGACCACCGTTGGAGTCACTTATTTTTCTCATGCCGTCTGTGAGCACGCTCAGGTCTCTTGATTCAGAGACTCCGACCTGGAGAAGCCATTCCCTCCACCCCCCACCCCTGTTCAGAACGCTGCACACCACCTTCTGATTTAGAAATCAGCGCTCCAGGTGTTGGACACGTCTTGCCGTGTTTGGGGTAACCAGCAGCACAGCTGAGTTTACGAGTGTGCTGTGTACGCCGTTTGAATGGACTAGTCACGCACACTGAGAGACGTGACCTAGGAAGACGAGCCGTTTAACTGGAACAGAAAAGCAGTGTTAACCAGACTCTAAAATAGAAGGCAAATACCTCCTTCATGAGTTGACCTGAGGAATTGAAGCCGTGCAGTCTGCATCCTGTAGTTAGCTCCATCTCTCAGGAGCTGGAGGATCGCCGAGAGCCCTTTCCCTCTACGGGTGGCACCCAGTGAGGGCGCACTCCCGCTCGCACTGTGAAAGGGAGCTTACAGATGGGGAGTGGGCGTAATCTTCTTACACAGTCAATAGCGCTTAGCACCTAATACTCTTATGTGTAGGAAATCAGTTACCTGCCTTGGAGGGGTGGAAGCGTTATTAGCTCACTCGCTAGATGCTGGTTTCCAGTTAGCAAAGCACTTTGTATGCGTGCTGTGAGGTCAGGTCTCCAGCCATCTTCTAAGGCAGTCTCTCCGGCCGAGCTTGCTGGCCTTGACATTTTGAGCTGGAGTAATTCTCGGTGGTGCGGCCATCCTGAGCGTCAGAGCTCTAGCAGCCTCCCTCTCTCCTGCTCTCCCAAGTGCCAGTAGCACAGCCCCCATCGTGAGACCCCAAAAATGTCTCCAGACATCACCATACGTGCCAGGGAGGGTGGGGGAAGAGTGAAGTCACCCCCAGTGGAGAACTGCTGATGGGACACTTGCCGATGTGTTGTACTTGTGCACACCCCTAAAGAAACGGTATTCGTTTGCTTTGGAACCCTAGAACAAAATGTCTCTCCGCCCTCTTTTGCTGTTGATTGCACCTGTTCTTGTCTCTGAAGCAGGAACATTGTGAAATGCATGTGTGACTCTGCTGGCCAAAGCGTCACATAATGAAAGTAGGCCTGCCAGTAAGTGCTTGCAGTTCAGTGGGATAAGAAACATGAATGGGCACAGGACGTACAGTTATTGTCCTACCCCTGGCTTTTTCCTAATAATTATTAGGGCTTTCAGGGATGACTTGATTTATGACTCTGTAAATCATACCCTCTGAGAAGCTGACCCACACCTCTGTGTCTCAACAGTGGACCAACACCTGTACTTCCAAGACAGTTACGTTTTCTACCAGTTCTCCTCGGATGAATGCAGCTACCTGTACTGTGAATTTGAGAGAGAGGGGGAATGGCAGAACGGTGTCAGACTCCTGCTGCAACTTGTGCCTCTCATTCCTTCCCGGGCTGGCATCTGTGACCTGTAAGTACGTGTGGTCTTGTGCCCTTGTTCAGTGGCTGTGCCCTGGAGAGCTGTTGCTGTGTCCAGGGACAGGGCTCTGCTCCCTGAGGTCGCTGTGTTGTTTAAGAAACAGTCGTGCCATTCCCATTTTTCAAATGCCAAGTCCAAAAAGGTAAAATACACAGCTGACAGTGAAACGAGCTGGAGTCCACATCCCGGAAGTCCGTGCCTTGCCAGCTGCACCACGCTGCCTCCGATTTATCATCACTATATGAATAGATGCTCTAAATTAGGAAGAGACTTTTGATTGGGCTTAAGTTGCAGTAAAATAATAACTCACATCTTACCCACTGTCCAAGTCGTGACTTCGCTGAGAAGGAGCACCACAGACATTTCTGAAAATAATCTAGAAGCAACATTTGGCGCATTAAGACCCGTGAATCATTATCACATGAAGGTACTGAATCCCTGTGTGATGAAATGAATGGATTGGAGGAGGCCTGGGAACGGGCCTGGGGACCAGGCATCTTGACCTTGACATGCTTTTGTTAACCCAGGGCAGGAGTGGCAAGCTTATTTCCAAATCATGAGTTAACGAGTAAAAATTGTAGTTAAAAACTTTTTGCATGTGGAAAACACTGGAGTTTTCAAAAGACTTGCCCATGTTGTTCACTCCGGGAGTCCTGTGACAGCAGCAGGGCCTGTTTGCCGAGGTGAGAAAGTAGTCTCAGGGCAGGCATCTGGTCTGGCAGTTGGGACATCCGGTTTCACGGTGCCTGGGTTCGAGTCCCAGCTCTGCCCCTGACTCCAGCTTCCTGCTCATGCAGACCCTGGGAGGCAGCAGTGATGGTTCAGGTAGTTGGTTCTCTGCCTCCCATGTAGGAAACATAGACTGAGTTCCAGGCTCCTGGCTTTGGCCTGGTCTGGCCCCAGCTCTTACTAGCCTTTGGGGAGTGCACCCACAGATGGGAGTTCTGTCTGTCTTTGTCTCTTTGCCGCTCAAATTAAATAAATAAATAGGGGCTGGCGTTGTGGCATAGTGGGTAAAGCCACCACCTGCGATGCTGGCATCCCATATGGGTGCTAGTTCCAGTTCCAGCTGCTCCATTCCCAATCCAGCTCCATGCTAATGGCCTGGGAAGAGCAGCCGACAAGGGCCCAAGTGCTTGAGCCCCTGCACCCACGTGGGGGACCTGGAGGAAGCTCTGGGCACCTGGCTTCAGCCTGGCACAGCCCCAGCTGCTGTGGCCATTTGGGGAGTGAACCAGCAGATGGAAGATCGATCTCTCTCTCTCTCTCTCTCTTTCTTTCTCTCTCTCTCTTCCTCTCCCTCCATGACTCAGCTAAATATATAATCTTAAATAAATAATTTGTTAAATACTTAGGTTCAGAAAGAAAAACCTCTTTATAACCGTTGACAAACCTAAGTCATTCCTACTGGTTAAAAAATGAATATACTGAACAGTTAAGACCAACTGTTGGGCCGGTGCCGTGGCTCAATAGGCTAATTCTCTGCCTGTGGCACCGGCTCCCCGGGTTCTAGTCCCAGTCGGGGCACCAGATTCTGTCCTGGTTGCTCCTCTTCCAGTCCAGCTCTCTGCTGTGGCCCGGGAAGGCAGTAGAGGATGGCCCAAGTGCTTGGGCCCTGTACCCGCATGGGAGACCAGGAGAAGCACCTGGCTCCTGGCTTCAGATCAGCGTGGTGCACCAGCCGCAGCATGCTGGCAGCAGTGGCCATTGGAGGGTGAACCAATGGAAAAAAGGAAGACCTTTCTCTCTTTGTCCACTCTGCCTGTCCAAAAAAAAAAAAAAAGACCAACTGTTTTGAATGTGACAGTGTGCTAATAGGAGGGTTGATTGATTGTAGAACATAGATTTTATGGCAGGCACTGTACTCAATGTTTTATATTCATTATTCCACTTTCAGATGAATTCTGTGAGACAGGTGCTATTATCATTTCTCTATAGTGAGTGAAGAAACTGAGGCAGGTAGCATCTCAGTGTTTGGATCTGGATTTGGATCTGAGCACTGAGCCCTGTGCCCATCGCACCTGCTGCAGTATGCCCTCCCACGTTCTGGACTCATACTCGTGTCCCGATGGAGGACTGAGGAGCAGAAGCCATGGGTGTGTTGGGCTGAGCTCCAAGACGGTTATGCCTTCCCACTGCCACCATTTGTCAGGCCTTGCATGGTAAAGCAAAAGTTCAAGTGTCATTTGCTACAGCTGGGATATGATTGGGTCCCTGAATCACACAGATGATGAGCCCCAAAGGCACAAGTCAGTGGCCCTGAGAGGGTGCAGACTTAATCCTGTCGTGATGTTTAGGGGTGGGACTAGTAGGACATCCAGGGTTGATTTGAGGTTTGCCCTTGAAGGTCATTCCCACAAGAGGGTTGGTAATAAAAGGGTGAGTTTGTCCCAGCCACTTTCTGTACTTCCTGGCTCACTGTGTGGTCCCTTCTCGGCGTCCAGGGTCATTATCATCCACTACACTCACAGCAGCCCAACCCATGGGGCCACTGGTCTTGGACTTGAACCTTCCAAACTGTGAGCTCAATAAACCTGTTCTCTTCTTGGAAGTGAGCTGCCCAGTAGCTAATTATGGTAACAAAAAGCTGACTAACACATGGCTCATTCTCACTATGGACAATGCTCTTTGTTATAATATGCACTGAACATGGTTACAGGGCAGACACTGGGCACGATGGTTCCGCCACCACTTGGGAGGCCCACACGCCAAATCAGAGTGCTGGGGTTTGAGGCCCAGCCCCGTCCTGCATTCCAGTGTCCTGCTAATGCTAGGAGACCCAGCTTGACTTCCAGGCTCTTGAGGTTGGCCCGGCCTGGCCGTAGATTTCTGTCACACTTGAGGGGATAAACCAGCAGCTTGGCGAGCTCTCTCCGTCTACTTGTCTTTGCCTCTGCCTTTCACATAAAATGAATGAATCAATATTATATAATACAGGTTAGGAGCATCCTGAGAAAAGTATTTCCATACATTTTAGCAAGTTTTCTAAGAAGTGTCAGCATGTGTTTACTTTAGTTTCTGCTTGTTTATTTGCTTTTTGAGAGGCAGAGAGAGAAGGGATAGGAAGGAAGGCTGCCATCCATAGGTTCACTTCCAAAATGCCCACAACAGTGGAGGCTGGGCCAGGCTGAGTCAGGAGCCAGAAACTCTGTCTGCACCTCCCGCATCGGTGGCAGGGACCCAGCTATTTGAGTGGTTCCCCCGCTGCCTCCTGGGGTCCACGTTAGCAGGAAGCTGGAACTGGAAGTAGAACTCAGACTGAAATCCAGGCTCTCTGAAGCAGCATGCCGGCATCCCAAGTGGCGTCTCAACTGCTAGGCTACACCGGTGATGTGCTTTTAACCAGCGGTGGCTGTGACTGGGGGCCAGGCCCTCTCCAGCAGCTCTGCTCACCGTTTGCAGTCCCATGGGCAGACCCAGGTGAGCAGGGGCACACGGGCAGTGAGAATTGTGCAAACATTCCAGGTGGCTCAACTCCACGTCTCTCACCCTGCCCAGAAAGCACTGTGCACTGCGGGGAGTGACACAGCCTTTTCATAGGGAGGTCAGAGCCTCTGCCAGTTCTTCAAAGTCAAAGTGTCTCTAAGGTTCGGGCCCCAGTATTAATTGCAAACAACTCGGATCAGTGTGGACACAGATGGCCGGCTGGGCAACTGAACCTCACCGCGGTATTTGTCAGCAGGTTCTTTGGTTGGCATTTGGGAGTGGTTAGCGGGTCCTGTGGGCAAGTGGTTGATGTGGTCCCATGAACCGGGATGCCCCTTGTTATAGGGACTAAATATAAAAAGATGGGTGCTTTTCAGGTGTAAAAGGAGAGAGAGGGCTGGGGAAAGGTTGATTGAGGCACCTAAGTTACAGTTGAATAGCAGCAGGAAGTTCTGTTCTACCACACAGCAGGTTGACCATGGCTAACTATCATCTACCTTATAGAGGTTTATGCTAGGAGAAAGGGTTTTGAATATTTTCACCATAAAGAAATGTTGTTGATATTTAAGGAGATAGGTGTGTTTACCTTGATTTGAGCATTACACGGTATATTGAAAATCACAGAAATGTGTACCACTTTTATATATGAATTAAAAATAAATCCTTTTCAAGGAGAGATAAAAATTACTGGGGTGAGCGCCTGGCGCAGCAGTGGAGTCACCACTCGGGATGCCTGGTTCCAGTCCTGGTTCCTCTGCTTCTGATCCAGCTTCCTGCTCATTCGTGTCCTGGGAGACAGTGGTGATAGTGCCAGTAGCTGGGTCTCTGCCACTCGCGTAGGAGATCCAAGTGGAGTTCTGGGCTCCTGGCTTCCACCTGGCCCAGCCTAGGGCATTATGGGCATTTATAGGGGTGAACCATATGTGGAGAATCTCTGTCTCTATGTCTTTCAGATAAAATGAAAATAAATTAATTTTTTTTCTTTTTGAAATGTTTATTTTGAAAGCCAGTTACAGAGAGAGAGACAGAGTGACAGAGAGAGATATCCTCCATCCACTGGTTCATTCCCCGGATGGCTGCAACCACCAGGGCTGGGCCAGGCCAAAGATCCGGGTCTCTCATGTGAGTGGCAAGGGCCCAAGCACTTGGACCATCTTCCACTGGTTTTCCCAAGCCAGACAGAACTGGATCAGAAGCAGAGCAGCCAGGAATTGAACCGGTGCCCTTATGGGATGCCATCGTCACATATGGTGGCTTTACCCACTACACCACAATGCCAGCCCCAATAAAAATCTTTTAAAAAGATAAAATTGAAGCAGGAATGGTGGCATGGCAGGTGAGACAGCTGTCAGCATTCTGTGTGGCCACCGGCTCCTGTCTCATTTACTCCACTTCCAATCTGACTCCCTGCTAGTGGGAAGATGGCCCAGGTACTTGGGCCCCTTCCCCTATGTGGAAGACCCAGAGAAAGCACCCGGCTCCTGGCTTTGGCCTGGCCCAGCCCTGGTCATTGAGGCCATTTGGGAGAGTGAACCAGCAGATGAAAGATCTCTATGTGATTCTTT